AGGCTTCTGGAATGTGGGCCAACATCCACAGGAATGCATCCGATTACTACTCCAAGCCAGCGTCGAACTCTCTTTGGTGGCTGTGACCATGCGAATACGGAAGATGTGCTTTTTGTGGAAGGTCGCAAAGGGAGGAAGGATGACGTTGTGTTGGCTGTGAGAGGTTCGTGTATTTACCCGCATAGTGTGTATAGTGAGGATAGATGGCTTTGTGTATCGATCAAGTGGAGATATGTTGCCACGCCCCCGGAAGCATGGATACGATTATGGCGATGTCTACGTCCCCGGATTAGCAGGGAGCGGAAATGCAAATCGAAGAAAGCGATGATCAATTGCGTTGCAAAGGCTGAAAGACAAGAGCACTGCTCACGGATATGCGCAAGCGAGATTATCGTGATGTCGAGTCGTATTGACAGGATGTACCCCAGATGTAACATGTCGAAGGCGGATGGTACTACAAGCGAGCGCCACTGTATGCATCTCGCTCCGAATCGCTTCCCCACATCTCGCTTGTGGGGCAAGACATCCACGCGGAGTTCACGTGGCTAGTCGCGTGTGGCGCGGCCAAGCCCGTCATACTATGAGACCCTCGTAAATGGCGAGGGGTTGTCGAGATTGATGTTCGCTTTGTATCATACAAAGATGTGAACAAAGCAGTCGCCGTCGGTCCATCAACGCTTCGCCCTGACATCTTTCTTCCTGGTGTTGAACCCGCCGGCATCGGGGTCTATGAAGTGAGCTAGAATCCTGAAAACGTCGGAGAGGTTCTGCGAGGAATGATGACGTGTATCGCTTGCGCAATATCGTTATATACGCGGTGTTGATGATCGTTAGTCTCGATAACAGGATACAGCATAATAGAAACATGTGTTGTTACAGCTCGTGCATGAATTTTGGTTCATGGTGTTACCATGGTAAGTACTGCTCAACCTTCCGTGAGCTTCTGCATCTTCTGCGCAACGACGCAGATCGATCTCATGATGCCCATTTTCGCGTGCTGTGCGCCACCAGATCGCGCGAACCAATAAGCGGTACCAGCAACAGAAGCCAGCACCAGACCGGCCACGCCGTTGAGGATCTTGGCCTGCCTCTGTGCCGCTTGCCGAACCTCGGAATATCGCATGTTGCTGAACGTGACTCGTGAATACTGTGTGGCCCAGCCAATGCTCGGGACGTAGATATAGAGTTGCTCTTCTACCCATTTTCGCAGTAGATATAGCGGCTTCTTGACGTCGCTTGCCATCTCGCGATAGTTCCCATCGGCAAGATCGTTGATGGTGTGTGCGTCAGGAGTGCGCTCCTTGGTGTATTCGTCTAGTGCCTTTGATCGATCGTTGGGATACTTGTCGATGAAGTCGAAAAGAACGCGGACGTCTTCCAGTCCAGCGTTCATTCCCTGGCCGTAGAATGGTACCATGGCATGGGCCGCATCTCCTAAGATAACACCAGAATCTCCGTAGTGATACGGTGTACATTTTATCGAGATCAAAGGCAGGTGCTGATTAGATGTGTACTGCTTGCGGAGATCGTCCTCGGTGATGAGATCTGGAACCACGCCGGGGAACTTCTCATTGAAATACTCGACCACTTTTCCAGACGCGTCTAATTGCTCAAAGCCTTCCCTGGTCAAGAAAAGCGTTGATGTGAAAGTCTTGTCTAGGTTTGGGAGAGCGATGAACATAGATTCGTCCTGGGGCCAAATGTGTAGGTAGTTTGGAGGTATTCTGAATTCGCCGTCCGGTGTGACTGGAACGTTGAACTGACACCAGAGTTTGTCGATGTACTCTTGCTGAAACGACATTGGCACAAACTTCATCAAGTGATATCGCACCGCCGAGTGTGCACCGTCGGCACCGATCATGAGATCGAAGTTGATTTCGAATTCGTCGCCCTGTTCTTCGGGAGACTTGGTACGATGCTCGAACCATGCGGTCTTCTTCCGGAAATCTGCGCCGACCAACTTGTGGTTGAACATGAGCTTGACGTTGGGCATGGCCTCTAGATGGTCAAGCAAGGTCTTGTTCAGACCCGTCCGGTCCATTGCTAATAAACTCTACTTTGATCAGCACGAGTCAGATAAGCGACGACGATATACTTACTCTTCCTCTCGCATCGTAGATCTGTGGCTGTCGAACATACTCTCCATTCTTCCTGATATGGATCATGCGGCCATGCATGGGGAAGGTCTCTGCCAAGACTGCATCTGCAAGATCGGATAGTCCGGTCTTGCGAAGGGAGTGAATACCTCGCTCCGACAAAGCAAGATTGATAGATTTGGAGAAGTTTAAAGGTGTGGTGTTGGGGTCTCTGAGATCTGGCTAGCGTTAGGTCACTCGCTAGCACCGAGATGGTTTACAGATCATTATCTCACCTGCTCTTAGCTCGTAGACATCTACTTCGAACCCGCGTACAGCTGCATAAAGCGCGGCCAAAGAGCCTACTGGCCCGGCTCCGACCACAACTACTTTCTGGGTCATGGTGGTACGGAGGTAATGTGGAAAAGGTGGAGTAAAAAGATGGTTGGTTCACTGGTCTGTGCTCAGAAGCGGCGTGGTGGGAGTTGAAGAGTAAGAGGAGGAAGAAAGAAAGAAGGGTGGAAATACATCGTCCGCAAACGAGGGAGACGCGAGACACGGGTGAAAATTATCAAACCATTACCAGGGATCCAAAGAGTCAGATATGATGGCAAAGTAGGGCAGATGATGCACGTCAAGACTGGAACGGGTAAGCGCGAGCTCTGGTTCAAGTTGGCTACTTAGTAATCGGTGATCGGCGGCCGGCGGCCTGGACCCCTGCACGAATTCCGACTTGACGATGCCGTGGGACGAACGCAAGTCGCAGTCCACCACTTCCTCCGTGCGCAAACCGTTGCCTTGCCCATATAGGCTCCTTGCACGCTGTACATTAGAGTGCACGTGAATACCAGGCCATCTCCGCCTCGACCACACCCTCTACACGCCCTATACCACCGCACGCGATGGCCACAGACGCCCCGCGCAAGTGCGCAGGCAAAGACTGCGAGAACGATGCGAGTTCTCTTCAATGTCCGAACTGCCAGAAGCTCGGAAAAGAGAACTATTTCTGCTCGCAGGATTGTTTCAAGCGCAACTGGGTACATAGTGAGACTGCTCTTACACTGCAGACAAAACAATCTAACGGCCCTCTAGGCTGAGCACAAGAAGGAGCACAAGTCACAAAGTAGTATTCTCCAAAGTATCTTTACGCCGAAAGTAGTTTCTCACCCGGATCCAGCCACCGGCCACTACAACCCGTTCCCTACCTACTCGTACACCGGCGCCCTCAGACCCGTATACCCGCTCTCGCCGCGACGCGAAGTCCCGAAGCACATAAGACACCCAGACTACGCGAAGGACGGCATACCGCGCTCGGAGCAGGTGTTTGTTAACAGGAATAAGATCACGATTCTGAACAAGGAGGAGCAAGATGCGATGCGCAAGGTGTGTCGGTACGGGCGCGAGATTCTGGACATTGCAGGAAGAGCCGCAGTGCCTGGTGTCACCACTGACCACATCGACGAGCTCGTACACAAGGCTACTGTCGAGCGTGATGTAAGAGCGACAATGTCAGGGTTTCAGAAAGTCTTGTTAACCGCAATAGTCTTACCCATCGCCCCTCAACTACTGCCACTTCCCCAAGTCCGTATGCACGTCGCTGAACGAGGTCATTTGCCACGGCATCCCTGACCAACGCGTACTCAAAGACGGCGACATTCTGAACATCGATATCTCCGTCTACCATGGCGGTTTTCACGCGGATCTGAACGAGACGTTCTACGTTGGAGACAAGGCTTTGGCAAACCCCGATGCTGTACGCGTCACCGAGACAGCACGAGAGTGCTTACAAAAGGCCATCGAGATCGTCAAGCCAGGCACACTGTTCCGTGAATACGGAAACGTCATCGAGAAGCACGCAAAGAGCAAGAATTGCAGCGTCATCAGGACATACTGCGGACACGGCGTCAACCAGCTCTTCCATTGCGCACCTAATGTTCCTCACTACGCGAAGAACAAGGCAGTTGGATCGGCAAAGCCCGGCATGTGCTTCACCATCGAGCCTATGATTAGTGTTGGTTCGCATAGGGACAAGACATGGCCAGACGAATGGACGAGTGTCACGCAGGATGGCTCTCTGACAGCGCAATTTGGTAAGCCCCGCAGATGCATCAATGTGTCCACTCATGACTAACACGCTACAGAACACACCCTACTCGTAACAGAGGATGGCGTGGAGGTCTTGACGGCAAGACTGCCAGATTCGCCAGGTGGTCCGGTACCGATGCCGGGAGCCACAAACGGTGAAACGAATGGCGAAGCGAAGGCAGCTGCTTGAGGATGATTGGACACTTGGGAATAACATAGCTATGCGATACTTTCTCGGAGTACGCATAGCGTGATTCAACAGCACGAGGCTTTTGAGTTTCATCAGCATTCGCGTGATGGCGGTCTGTAGTGATGTTCATGTTATTGGCAGTCATAGCTTGCACAACTCGTTTCGTTTCGACGAAACAATTCGGCCGTCTGTGAGATCACCAACCTTCGGTCAAGCTTCGGTCGGACGGTGTTGGCCCGCTCAACGCACACCTGCAAGCGAGGCGAATGACGCTAGTGGTGGTGCCTGCCCGCTGTCCAGGGAAGCAACTCGTGTCTCCGCCTCAACGTCATCCAAACATCTCTGCCCAACGCCCGCCAGAATTTCAGCGACCTCGCAATCGACGTTATTACTCAAGACTCTACCGTCGCATCACCGTCGTGTAACCCCACCGCTCACCCACGTCATCACAACCTCTAGCCAGGCCCCGCGCACGAGCTAGCTTCCCGCGTTCTAGCTCGGCAGCCTGCAAACACACGACCGCATCCGAGTGCTGAACCTCTGTCGACCACCTGTCCATTCGTATCCAGGTGTCTGCTGGCGACTTCGCTAGTCTATTTTAAACCTTCTATACGCCAAAGCCGTGCTACGCAGCACACGACACTCCCACAATGACTGGCGAAGCATGGTTGTACCTGTTGGCGGTGCTGATAAATGCCGTCAACCTGTTCCTACAAGTCTTCTTTACTATCATGTACAGCGATCTGGAATGGTGAGTCAACCCCAGGCATACAATGCCATGGCGTAGCAATCTACGCGATACGGCCCGTACCTTGATCGGCACATGCTAATTTTGCGCCAGTGACTACATCAACCCCATCGATCTCTGCAACCGCCTGAACACCTACATCATCCCCGAGGCCGCCGTTCACGCTTTCCTGACCTTCCTATTCCTCATCAACGGATACTGGATCGCATTGATCCTGAACCTACCTCTGTTGGCATGGAACGGAAAGAAGTACGTAGCAGGGCCGGACTATACCAAGGAATAAGGACAATGCTGACAGTCACAGGATCTTTGAGAACCAGCATCTGTTGGACGCAACGGAGATCTTCAGGAAGCTCAATGTGCACAAGAAGGTACGATGAGAGGATACCGAGTATATGGCGATAGGCTAACAGCCACACAGGAATCCTTCATCAAGCTGGGTTTCCATCTGCTCATGTTCTTCTTCTACCTCTACAGCATGATTGTCGCCCTCATCCGCGACGAGTCTCACTAGGTGGAGACTGCGCCCTTGGTCTTGGTTGTAGCTATATTCGCGGTTGTACTGATTACAGTGGGCTACGAAGACCGAATCCAGGGACGGCTGAAAATTAACGGATAGAAACATTTGATATCCGGCTCGGAGAAGCGAGCCACGCGTGCGCATATTGCTAGCGGAGGACATGATTGTTGGATTAGGATAATGCGGGATACCTGGAGCGACAGGTTTGGGATTGGGAATTCACCCAGGAGGGGTTAAACGAGTTATGGGGTATGATAGCGTTATGTTAGCCTCGTGTAAATGCACCATAGTTTTCACATGTAACTACGCAATGCATAGTCGGGTTGTGGTCCGTGCACAGTCACCCACATTTTCTGGTGAGCTGGGAAGCTTCCATCTACAACTTCGCATCCGACACTCCGCGCTATCCACCTTTCAGCCTTGTCGAACCCCAGTATCGACACCGTCGCCAGATCTCACACACTACGCGACCCTTAACCTATCTCCACAACAGCTAGAATGCCCGCCGGCGGCTCGGGCAGGGTGCCAACTGGGTTCGCTGCAGAGACGTACATCAGCGACCACACCTTCCGCCAGGGTCAGCGCGCCATCGAGAGCGGCGCAGGGTCGAAGAAAAGAAAGCGAGAAGGCAAGGGCGATTCGAGCGTCGTGACTGGCGCCGGCGCATACAAGGGGCCATGGGCGAAGTATGAGGAAGAGAGGCCAGACGCTGCCTCAGACGACGAGTTCGGGTCGGACGTTGAAGTGGAAATAGTTTACGAGGAAGACGAGATTGTCGACAACGCTGCGCCCGCGCAAAAGAAGCTCACCGGCACAGACTACCGCGATACCGAAGCCGAGGGCGAGACGAGCGAGTTTGTTGGCAGCCAGCAGTACGACTACCAGGGCCGGACGTACATGCATGTGCCCACAGATCTCGACATCAAACTCACCGGCGATTACGAGCCCAAGAACTTCATACCGAAGAAGCTGATCCACACCTACAAATACCACACCAAGTCGATTACTCAGGTTCGCTTCATGCCTGACAGCGGCCATCTCCTACTTTCCGCATCCGCCGATTCGAAGATTGCGCTATGGGACGTCTACCACCAACGCGAGCTCCTGCGGACATACTCTGGGCATACAAAGTCGGTTGTTGACATCGACTTCAACCCCAGCGGCACACAGTTCATATCAGCTAGTTACGATCGCTTCATGAAGCTATGGGACACAGAGACAGGAAAGTGTCTGAACAAGTTCACGACTGGAAAGACGCCGCACGTGGTGCGCATCAACCCCAGTACACCACACGAGTTCTTGGCTGGTATGAGCGACAAAAAGATCCTACAGTACGACACAAGAAGCGGAGAGATGGTGCAGGAATACGACCACCATCTGGGGCCTGTCAACACAATCACCTTCTGCGACGAGAACCGCCGCTTCATCACCACATCAGACGACAAGTCCCTACGCGCGTGGGAATACGGCATTCCCGTACCTATCAAGTTCATCGCCGAACCGTACATGTTCTCCATGGTCCGCTCATCACCTCACCCCTCAGGCAAATACGTTGCCTTCCAATCGTCCGACAACCAGATCACCGTATACAGCTCTACCGACCGCTTCCGACAGAACCGAAAGAAGAGCTACAGAGGGCACAATGTGGCTGGATATGCACCAGATGTGGCGATCAGTCCAGACGGGCAGTTCATCAGCTCGGGTGACAGTGGAGGTTTCTTGTGCTTCTGGGACTGGAAGACGTGCAAGATGTACCATAAGATTCCAGCGAGCGATGCGCCTGTGCTGTCAGTACAGTGGCATCCTAGGGAGTCGAGCAAGGTGGTTGCTGGTGATCTCAATGGTGCTCTGAGATTGTATGATTAGACGACGAGGTTGAGGGAGCGGATATAGCGATACCCAATGCATTCGATACCAATTGATGACGATTTTGACTTACCGGCTGCCCATGTATGCCGGCCTCGATAAGCAACCCATGTCACACGTCCAGGATGCTATGCCTCCGACGCTTCACCGGCTCTGCGTTGGCATACTGGAGATTAACAACGTCCTTTGACCCACCGTGCTGCGCATGCGTAGTTGGCGAGCAGTTCAGTCCTGACTTCTCCAGCAGTTCACCGGCTATGCGCTGGCAAACACCTGGACCATATGCGCAGTTGCGCAATCCAGAGCCGCGCAGTCGCCACAACTATCTGCTCTGAGTCAGTGCGGAATGGACACCCACGTGAATGGCGTGCAGCCTCGCAACAGCCTTGCTCGGATTGATGCAACAACCCCGCCATGCACCAGGACCCTTCCACTGCGCCTCCTGCCCTACTCCACAACACCGCCTTTTGCCTTGACATCTCTGCCCTTTTCTCTCTTCCGTGCCCCTATCTTCATTATCGGACGCCGCCGATGGGCTCTTTTACCGTTGCATCACGGTGAATGCTTTGCAATGCTGCCTGCAATAGCTCCAGGCACCTACATTGCCCCCAGCCCCCACACCCCATCTTCTTTCGGTCAACCGGTGACTTTCTCGTTCACCAGTCCTGTCCGCTTTGTCATTATCCATTTCGGGGACCGCTGTCGCCTGGGGTGTCAGGCACGTCACTGGATAACGCGTCTCTGACAGATTTCCTGCTGCCTTTCCATAGGCTCGATTCGCTTGATGTGCCTTGCAGGAGAAGATGGCTGCTGCAACGCGTACGCCCTTTGCGCCATGCGAGTCACCACCTCGACCCTTTCTAGCCGTGACCCGATCTTAGTCCACGCCGATTGAACTGGTTCCTTCGGTAAATCCGCACCCGCTTATGATGACTCTTGCTCTTGGCAGGTCAAATGGTGAACGGGAAGTGCAGCCTAATCGCTGATTCGCGCGCACGCGTGTCCTGCCTCAGGACTTGTCCCGAGGTGAACATAGCCACGCGTGTGAATCATCGCAATCGCGCAGTCATTCACCTCGACCACGCGCCTAGCCCAGCTATTCAGGCAACGGCGTTACATTGAGCGTTAGGAGAACTCCGATGGCGAAAAAGAACAGTCAACGGTTGCGAGTGGTGAGTCTTTGTAGGTTGGCGGCCTCAGGTACTGTCTGCCTGGAATAAATAGTCGTGGGTTGAGGTAGGTGGTTGCTTTCTTTCTTCTCTTCATCAGTCAATCGATCAATTATCTACAGTCATATCAAGCATCTTTCGAGAAGAGTCACAGTCGTCCTCGTGTTGGTCTTCAGTCAACAGTCCACCTTGGATCACGATCACGAAACGCCCTTGTCGTCTCGTATACAACCCATACAACTCTATTACCGTCTATCACACAACACACGCCGATCACTCATCTGATCTTCTCGAATCACAACTGGCATCCAAACGCCTCCAACACTCTCAACGCCAATCAACCATGTCGTCCAGCTCATCTTACGGCTCCTACGGCCAGAGCAAGGGTGCCTACGCATCCCGTCCCTCGACATCCTCCACATGTACGTTGTCAACTCCTATCAGATCACCTCAAAGGTATGACTCTAACACTGTTGCAGCCTACTCTGCCGCCTCATCGAGCCTATACACAAACTCCGGTAGCTCGTCACGCAGCAAATCATACAAGAACCCGCCAGTCATTCACAATGGAGGCGGAAAGATCAACGACCCGAACACGTCTACTTCCGCGCCGAATGGTGGTTACTACAATTAGGCGAGATGTTGGTCGTCTAGCGGCGTGACTCATGCCCGGATGGAGATCGCGATGTCTTTTTGTGCTACTACTGCTTTCCTTCGGATTTTTTACCGGCATGTTATGGCGTTCGGACTGGGATTCGTTGGTTACAAGAGGGTCAAGGCTTCGGTGCTGAGGGCGTATACTACTGGCTTGCTTGCTGGTACTTCTTTTCGCCCAAATTCGGGCCCAAATTTCTTAAGTATATGTTTTTGCTGGCGGGTCGAGGTCCTTTTATTGGGTTGCATCTCCCCTAATCATTCCCTTTGGTATGATTCTTATCTAGTATTTGTACAACAGATAGTCCAAACAACACATACACATATTGTGTCTTGTCCTACATCATCTCGCACAACGGAAATTAGTGTGAAGTGCGAGCGAATGAGTCTCCTAATGGCCGACTGCCCCATACCATCCCAGTCCCAGAACAGCGCCGATGATAATCGCTATAGCAGGCGGCACACCAAACCAAGCCGTCTCCGCATATGCCATAGCAGCAACAACAACCCACCACGGCTCGTCTGCTAAACTCCTCCCATCACTGCTCTCCGGCGTCAAATAACCAATCTCCCAAAGCCTGTACACAGCCGTGAACACCAGCCCCACAGCAGTCGCGTTGATACCTCTTAGCAAACTAGCCACCCAAGCCTTGGTGCGCATAACCTGCCAGATAGACTGCACACCCACTGCGAGCACAATACCAGGAAAGAAAATGCCAATGAAACCAAGGAGGGCGCCCACGATAGTCGGTGTAGAAGCAGGAGCTGAGGCGATGGCCAATGCGCCAAGGTATACTGCGAAGTTGAAGTTGGGGCCTGGGAAGGCTTGGATGATGGCGAGGCCCAGGAGAAAGTCTCGGGGCGACACCCAGCCTGGGTCTACGACGTAGGAGCGGAGGAGGGGGATTACTACGGGGCCGCCGCCGAAGATTATGGTGCCGGCTAGATACCTGTGCAGTGTGAGATTAGTGGGGGAGAGCTGGGTGGGTGGACGAGGGGCTTACATGTTGGAGAAAACATCGAAAGACCGGGTGCTGGATACCGTACCACGGATAACCATAACGACGATGAAAGAAAGGAGGAACCCCACGATGAGCGACATGCCAACCTTGACCGAGATGTTATGCGTCTTAACATCAGCCACAAGCTCATTCGTCGCAGTCACATCATCAACCTCCGGATGCTCTCCAGCATGATCCCGACCCGCCTCTTCTCGCTCAGGCACAATACGATCAGTCGAGCTACCCGTCCCGACCCTCCTCTTCACAGCTTCCGGCCGCTGAAGTTCAATAGGTATGGTTTGCGTGGTAGCCGAAACTTCCTCCGCATCACCTTGTTCATTCCTCGCTCTTCTCCTCTTAGCAAGATACGCAGCTCTCATCTTACCTACGCGTCTGCCCAGCCAAATATCACATACCACCGTCGTCAGCCCACCGATAACAATCAACACAGGAAAGAACCAAAGTGCGTTATAACACAACCCCGCACACGCACCGAAAATCACCAAGATACGTGTTACACGGTCTTTAATAGCCTTTTCAGCTAGTTGAACAGCAGCCAATGCGACAATACCAACGGTACTGGCGTTTAGACCAGAGAGCAAGGCGTAAACGATGGGCGGGAGGCGTTCGGGCATCTTTTGCACGCCGAGTGAGAGACCGTACATGCCGATTGCGCCGGGGAGACTCCAGAGGAGGAAGGCGAAGACGGCGGAGACTATACCCGCGTGGAGGAGGGCAATGCAGAAGCACATTTTGGTAGACGCGGGGCCGGGGAGTGCTTGGCAGATTGCGAAGAGTTCTTGATACTGGGGAGTGCTGTTAGTTGCGCGGCATTCTGTTGTAGAGGTAGTCGAGGGAGTGGTTTGTCTCTCCGTCTTCTCATCCGGTCTCAAGAAGATTTCCTAGCTCTTCCTTGAAACCCAGTTCATTCGTATTGATACCATTGAGATCACTACCACGTGCGCGCATACTCACAGTCTGTTCATCCAACCACTTACTCCCACCCTGAAATCCCACTCCCTCCACAAACCTCCGATGCAGAATCTGGAAATGCACAGGTGGCCCTCCAAAGGCAGTGAACCCTAGATCCCACATGCGAGTAAACACTTCGACGAGACGCCATTGGATTTTCTCGGTATTGGCTTGCAAGTGCGCTGGAGGAGGAGCGGCGCGATGACTGCGCCGCCGAAGCGAACTTATGAGGGATTGGAGAGGCATTGATGATGGTCACCTCATGCGTATGATCGTGATGTGGGCAGTCGGGTTAAGAGAGAGACGGCTATACCTAGGTATCCTCGAGAGGAATTGATGCTGGGCGTACGCATCATGCACAGACAGACGCGCAGGAGCCAAGACACTCCAGTCGCGAAGAAGACGTGATGAACATCCATTGTCCAATCATTGCGCCCATGTGTTGCGACATCTGTGGCTTGCCTAGGTTCGTCGTGGCCAAGGAATAGCGGTTGAGTTGGGGAAGACGCGTGCAGGGAAGGGTAAGTTTAGGCGGGTCTGTCACTTCGTGGTTGTGATTGGTCATGTCAGTGTCCACTAGCGTGAGGTGGAACGTCCCGATTAGGCAGGTTCCGGAATCCGTTGATTGCAGCGCTCGTGAAGACGGCATGGAGGCCTTGAGCGTCGTCGTGGTCCAGGTGACGTTGAAGTGAACAGATACTGCGCACGTTGCATGAAGTTTACCGATCAATCTTTTGATCATCTCAACAAACCAAAAAGTGAAAGAATCTCAAGTAGTACTAAACGCCTGCCACCTATTGCAGCGCACTCATGCAATGATCGGACGGCTTCGTCTACACTCCGTTCCTGTGGTTTTCAGCGTTAACACTGACTTTACGACGTTTGCGTCAACACTCTAGATCTGTACAGATTCGATTGTAGTATGTTTCTAACGATTGGCATGCTATTACAGCAAAACTTAAAGAAACACGAAAAACCTAGGTAAAGTATCTAGCGATTGGACAGTCCACCGGACCAAACACACCTCAGCTTTCAATACTCCATGACGGTAGTCCGTCTTCGAATCTAGCACTGAACGCTCCAGTTGTTCCACTCAAAGTCAGGCGTGATATCGCGATCCTGGTCCGTAGCGGTGTACGACATAGTGACCTCACCATCCTCACACTCATCAGCATCGGCATGGAAGAAAATCTCGCAGCTACCCATTTCGGAGATGCGGAAACAGCCGTGAGGTTCCGCAGTATCCTCACACTCTACATCGTCGTCCCCCTCGTTGAAGTCAGTAGAGGTGATGCAGTCTTCTTCGAAGACCTCGAACTTCCAGGCCTTGATAAGCGCGGGAGCGAGGAGAAGAAGAGCGGTGGCGAGGGTGAACCTCATGTTTGCTGTTCGGGAGTTGGTGATTCGTTCTGGGTGTCTTCTGTGTTGGTTGATTGGTCGGCTTCGCGTAGTTCTTTTGCGTATCGAGGGTGGTAGATGATTTGGATGTGCTCGTTCTCCCACTCGACGACTGAGGTACCCTTGGTAGACAGGTGATACTTGACAAGAGAGCGTCTGAGTTGCGGCTCTTCGATCTTGTTGGGGATAACAAAGTACAAGTCTTGTTTCTTGTGGGGATTGTAAAGAAGGTATTTAATGGGATGGGGAGAGTCGTCTTTCAGGTCGTAGACGTATTGTCTTCGGAGAGTGTCAATCCAGTTGCCGTTCAGGTTGCGTGTTGTCATTCTGCGAAGAAAGAACAGGAAGATGAGGGGGTATTTATTGTTTTCCGTTGACTATGTTCCCCAGCCTCTGTTGTTCACGATCCCCGTCGATGTCGTCTATAGGCGTCCTGTATGTTTCGTATGTGACCGTGTGATAGGTCCCGTCGTTCAGCAACGGCTTTTTACTTGGCGACGTAGTCGTAATCCTTCTGCTCGTCCTACCTGGGTGGCACTCAGAATCTCTCCAGTAAGCAATGGAGTTTCTGTCACTCCTACTGGCTCCAACTGGAATTTCGATGCGGCCTTGTCTCAGTCACGCCAGACGAGAGCGATGAAGAGCCCAGAGTGGGGCAGCATGTCCTTACAGGGCGACTTCTTAGGTGAGATACGAAGTCAACAACTAGACGATCGCAGCAGAAAGTTGACAAAATCCCGAAGTGACCTGGATGATAAAGACTTGGCTGCTAAGACAGCTCCATCTTTATGCATCAGTCTTGACATCACATGTTCCGCGATTGGTTCGGGACGAAGCGCTTCGGTTGCTGCTTACCTCATGCGGGGGCGGGAAATCCGTCGCTTCACCCAACGGAGAACGAGATCTGATGGTAGCATTACACATTCGGCGATTCTTGGCGCTAAGAAAGAGTTCGTGCTGTGCCTGTCTGCTGAATCATCGTAGGATCACGCCCAGAATCAGCTAGATGGCAGGCAGGCGATGGAGATGATAGGCCCACGACCATGTAAGCGTACTGAAAGAGCTCAGGCATACTGAGACACTGGATGACTATGGCTAGAAGCCCACTCTGGAAAGAGCGGCCATGATGCTAAGCCAGTCAAAGCGTCAGAGTCTTCGAGTGGACAAGCGACGATCGACGGGTTCTTGGTAGCAGCTCTCCAAGACTCAGTCAGACGGGGCACAGTGAGCTTGAGAACGACGTCTAGATAGAGTCTGTGGGCTTTGTGACATAGCGAAATCGAAGGAAAAACCCTTCAATTGCCAGCATGATGTTTAAGAACCCGTAGCGATCATGTGGACAGCGTGGTCGGCATATTTTTCTAGGGATTGGCCTAACATCGAGCTTGCACTGCGCTGTGTCGAGGTCGACGAGACGGAGAGTAGAGCTTGCTTCGTTTGAACGCTTTGAGATGCCAGGTTCGACATACTACGCCCGTGGATAAAGTCCGTCGATTACTGTGACGAGACTGCGTGCCGACGTCCAGTGGCTCACACGCTTCCGTATGAGACGACTATCACTGCATATGCGTTAGTGATCTCACAACCTTAAAAGTCTTAGACTTTTGTATAGTTCTGGTTCGCGAGGGTTAGTGTGCACTTGATGCACGGAAGTGGTGGACGCTGTGATTAGCAATGTGAATGGGATTTCCCGAGCTGCGACGGCTGTGGAAAGCTGGCCGAGACAGACCGGTCCCGCCGCGCAATCGTTGATTTGAGATGACAGACGCGTCATGAGGAAGGCTGTAACCAGGCCAATGCAAATAAGACTGACGGCTGCGCGAATTGCGATGCAGATCCTGTGGGAAACGGTGAGGTAAAGAGCGGAAGATCGGTTGTCCGCCTGTTGTGGAGCTTGTGGAGACGCTTGAGCTTCGCACTGGCACGGCCGCATCTCGCAACGACACCTCACACCCCCGAAAAGCTCTTTTAGAATTTCTTGATTCTTTACATACTCTCGAATGAATCCTCACATGATTCGTCGTGGTAAATCTCTATGATTCCCGACATGTTCCAGATGACCTTCTCAGATCTCCGTTCAACCCTTTCTCGTAAACGCCTTCGCTTGTCGCGCGGGAGCCGTAGCTCAAACATCGATCGCATCGACCGTAACGCCCTTGACCCAAGAATACTGCATAGCACGAGCGACCTCCAGAGCCGAGTCGTGCGAAGCCAAAGAACCCACCAAGTATAGACTGGCATCGAGCCCAGCAGTCACACCGCCAGTGGTGATGACGCGCATACCGCCCAGGGGCATGGAAGCACGTCGAGCGATGGACTCGCGGCGGCGAGAGTCGCGCCAAGCGTTGCTGCCCTTGCGAGCGATCGACTTCCTGCGAGCATGGCCCATGTTGGTGCCTTCGGGAGCGCTCGGCGGCTCACGCGACTTCTTGATGATGTACCTGTACTGGTGAGCGTTACACGCTACCGCAATCTAAGGCCTACTTACGGGTTGTCGTCGGGGTTCTCGCCTAGGTCGAAGCGGGCGTTGTTCACGACGTACCGCTCCTCCATGACGTCTGTACGCTCCGACATGTCGCGTCTAGCCGCATCTTGACAGATGGTCTCGAGACGGACGTAGTAGTCTGGGTGGGTTGTAGCGGCAAGGCCCTCGAGCATGCCCTGCTGAGCGAGGAGCAGAGCACCGACGTCGATAGCGAGGATGGTGCGCTCTTTGCTGGGACTCTTCTCCTGGAGCTCGACGTACTTGGTGAGGAGCCCAAGAGGCTCAGACTTGTTCTTGAGGACCTCAAAGACACCTTCACCACCGGGGACAATGACGACGTCAAAGTCCTCAAGCTCGTCGTTGGCGTCCTGAGATGGATGTCAGCATAGGTTCCTTGCTTCTCGCGGGTATGCTTACATCGTAGTCCATGTCCGCTTTGATGGTGAGACCCTGGACGGACGTCATGGCAGCAGCAGTGCCGACGAATTGGCAGTTGAAGGCCTTGCTAGCTGTGGAGTGTCAACAAACATTCAATTGACTGAACTCCTAGGCTTACACTTGTCCTTGGAGTCCTGGAGAGAGCGACTGAGGACCTCAAGCGGACCTGCCACGTCGAGCGTGTTGTAGCCCGGGAACAGGGCAAACAGCACCTTGACCTGCTCGACAGGGCCATCGGTGCTGTCAGCGATTGCACTCATTGTGAATGATTTGGAGTAGGATGTGAGTTGAAATGGATTGAGTAAGTTGTTGAAGTGAGCATGAAGTTGTTGGAGGAGAGAGTAGTAGGAAGGAGCGAAGCTGTCTCAGCTGAGAGGGGTAGCTACTATAGTCTCGTGCCCAAGCACCGCGTCACGTCTGTAGCTCTCCTTCCCCAGATATGCAACCCCGCTTAGCACGGACCGTTTGTCGCTGCAAGTGGTCTAGTCGGCGGGGCAAGAACGTCGATCGAAGCTCCCCGCGTGCTGACCCTTGCTGGCCTGTCTCGATCGCATGCGTCCCTGAAACAACCATGATGAGCTGTGAGATGATTGATGAATAGTGCGAAGCTACTCGAAAACTAGGTGATTCGTGATTGATCGAGGAATCCAGCGCGAGGGCTGGATATAGCTGCATTGGAATTCACTCAAGTTGGTACGCACGGACCATGCGTTCACAACCAGTCCATCAAGAAAGCACGACCACGGAACATGTCGCTGTCACAAGACATTAGATTGAAGATGCCAAACAGATAACTCAGGCGTTCTGCGCAAATTTTCTGGCTCTCAGGACATGCCTAGAGACCGCACGCTAGAAAGCATACAAAGTAAGCTGAAACTCAATCGCTCGTTGCAGCTCGGGCCCGCTTGACTACCTAAGTACTGCTTTCTTTTGGCAGAGGCCAGATCGACGAAGCTTCTCAGCTGACAGAATAACGCGCTCTTTGAAGCCTAGTCAGCCTTGCTTGCACGCGTTTCCTTGAATCTGACCCTAGCCAAGGATCCGACCCTCCCGAGGTCAGTAGGGTGGACTTTATGTCCGAATTGATGCTTTCCACGTTTCCAAGGTCCTTTGAAAGAAGAGAGCTTATGATAGAGAACAGAGAACATGACTGAAACACAGTCTACTGCTGTCCCATGAGACTAGAATGATAGCGTAGTTGTGTGGTTGCACTTGATACACGGAAAACCCTAACAAGTCTCCAGCCTTCATTAACATAAGAACATGCAAAGTAGATGACCTAACGTCAACGTGAGCTCTAGGGCGCTTGCTCTTTTTCTTGGATGAGGTGGTTGGGACGTAGTAGAGATATCTCGTGTGAGCGTGAATGGTGGACCCAGACGCACGGACGCGCGTGTTAGCGCGACATTGCCCCAAGTGACAGCATGGAACAAGTCAACCGCAACATGGCGGCACCAAATGATTCCGACGCGTCGCTGGCGGCCGAGTTGAAGCAGACGCCCGCTCAGTCGCCTTCGACACCCACCGCGACAGCATTGGCTAAGCAGCCTCCTCCCGAGACGAAAGAGAGCTTATGGCTGCGACGCCTGTCTATCCTCTCCTTTTGGGTGGTCGTGGTGTTTCTGGGCCTACCAATATGGCTGAAGACAACAGCCATCTACAGGGCAGAGCTGCCACTGCAGGACATGACGGACTGGGCTGAGGGCAAGGTAAATCCCCCCAAAGTATGACATCCTGTCAACAACACAGCTGACACCGCGGCAGGTCTGTAAGCCAGTCTTCCCTCTGCGCATCGCTGTAGAGGCCGCGATCCCTTCCACGGATGCGCAACATCTCCTCCGTACGACGCAACATGCCCTCGACGATATCAACGACTTCTCTGCCCACCACCTCCGACTGATGCTCGCCGATTCTCCCTCGCAGCAAAACGCCTCGCAACAAGTCATTGTCGATGGAACAAGCATCCAGAGCGATGACAAGGACGTGGCCCTGGTCATCCGACTGATACCTGTCGAGACGGGCACAACGCCACGGTCGCAGCTGCGGCCATATTCGCCAACGCTAGACGTGTACTACTCGCCAAACCAGATTCCATCGCAGTCGTCGACTGGCTCGAGTCTGGCTACATTCCTCGCTCAGGAACTACACAACATATTTGGGGAAGAGCAGGCGCAGTTGGCGCACGTGTTGTCGGCAACTTCTGGTGCACATGCTGCCAAAGTTAAGGCGCTTTCTCCAGAAACGTCCGCAGAGCTTCAGCGCCAGTCCACGCGCGCCCTGAAGTATGCTCCAACATACCACCTGACGTTCTCCTTGTTCAGTCCCTCTTACGCACCTTCGCAGTGGGACATCGAGACTGCTCTCCAGACGTACATGAGCCCCCTCCTTGACGCCTTCTCCGCCATCAGCAATTTCACCGTCGATACGCAAGTACAGCTCTACGCAACATTCGCTCCGTCTGTCCGCCAGCCGGAATACGATGAAGCTACAAAGGCATGGACTCTCCGCAAGGAAGACCTTAGTGGGTTCGTAAACGCGGCTGAGTGGCCCCTCAGTCCCAGCATTGGCGAGGGGCCGACCGTCAACTTCATTCTGTATGTACCGGATCACACGCAGTCTCCACTTCTGGTCAAGGAGAATGCAGGGAACAGCTGGTTGATTCCGCAATGGGGTGGTGTACACATACTGAACTTGGAGGGCGAGGCAGACACGCCGGCTGCTTTGACTGCTGAAATGCTCGCACCAGCGATGCACACATTCTCGAATCAGCTCATCTCGTTGTTCGGTCTGCCGCAGAGTCCGGCATCTTTGCCACTTCGCATCTCGACCCTTGAACGCGTCCGAGCTGCATCCCTTATCTTCTCAGCATCTTCCACATTGGGAGCCTTAGCTCAAGTGTACCAGAAGCTTCCTTCTATTCCAGTACCAGACAACGTT